AAAAAAAAAAAAAAAAAGAAAGAAATGGTGAATATCCAAACTATATTCCACCTGAGAGGATGCAGAGGACCAACATCACCCCTGTGACCTTCCTGCCCAAAACGACTACATCGAATCATGAAGAAACATCAGGCGAAAAACTCAGGCACATTCTAAACAATAAACGGCCTATAAAATTTATTTATTTATTTATCTTCTTTTTGAGACAGTCTCACTCTGTCACCCTGGGTAGAGTGCAGTGGTGTCATAGCTCACAGCAACCTCAAACTCCTGGTTCAAGTGATCCTCCGGCCTCAGCCCCTACAAGTAGTTGGCACTATAGGCATGCAACAGGACAATGCCTCATTGTTTTTTGTTTTTTTTTCCTTTTGCTTCTTTATTTATTTTTTTGTAGAGATGGGGTCTTGCTTTGCTTAGTCTGGTCTTAAACTTCTTGCTTTGCTCAGTCTGGTCTTAAACTCTACATTTTGGAGCTTCCTGGTTGTATTTGAAGGATGTTGTTTAATTTGTCTCTCTTTCTGTATTTGCCTGAAGTGCTAATTATATATATAAGCTAAGTTAAATTCAAGTTTAATTCAAGAGAGCCGGGCAAGAATATTTCATGAACAATATTATGTATAACCTATTGCATTATAAAGTACATACTATCTGATTATTCCACTTTAGTAACATTAAGATTCATCAGCTAAAAAACAAAAACAAAAAGAACAGAGCAATTCATCAGTAAAACCAAGCACAGATGATTACGGCGCAGGTGCACTATTTCATACAGTGATTCCCACAAGTCTCCTCCTGACTTTGAAGGTGTGGAAGAGTAGCGGGGAGAGGCAAATAAAGAGGGATTGGTTAGTGGTTCCAAAGATGTAGTCAGGAGGAATAAGATCTCGTGTTTGATAGCACCACAGGGCAACTACAGTTAATAATAATTTATTGTATACGTCAAAATAATTAGAGGAGTGGATTTGGAATGTTCCACATATAACAAAATGACAAATATTTGAGGTGGTAGATATCCCAATTACCCTGATTTTACCATTGCACTTCTATCAAAATATCACATGAACTTCATGAATATGTATAATTATTATGGGCCTATAAAAATTAATTTTACAATACACTTTTAAAATAAATCTTTCTGTAAATCTTTTATGTTGGAATTCATTGATGGAAAACTTTCCTTCGTCAACCATTTGACTGCCTTATTAAATTGATAAAAAAAAAAGGCAGTGTCAGGCTGACCCCGGTGGCTTACTCCTGTAATCCTAGCACCCTGGGAGGCTGAGGCAGGAGGATTGCTTGAGCTCAGGAGTTTGAGACCAGCCTGAATAGGAGCAAGACTCTTGTCTCTAAAAATAGCCAGGTATTGTGGCAGGCACCTATTGTCTCAGCTACTTGGGAGGCTGACACAAGATTGCTGGAACCTAGAAGTTTGAGGCTGCTGTGAGCTATGATACCAGAGTACTCTACTGAGAACGACAAAGTAAGACTTTATCTCCAAAAACAAAAACAAAAATAAAAACAAAACAAAACAAACAGAAAGGCAGGATAAATGCTGGATACCTGCCCTCTGTTTATCAATTAACAGAGTAATGAGTTAGAAAACAAGCAACCTATAGCAATGCTCAAAGCTTTTTTTTTTTTCAGGGTTAAAAAAACATATTTTTTTTATTTAAGAGGAACAAAGAGAAATTTTAGAGCACTTCCAAAGAGAGTTGGAAGTGGGTCCCTCTCATGAAAGAGAAAAGGTGAGAGAGACCCCCCCCCATGCTTTTTGAATGTATTCTTATAAATTCATGGATTTCATTATGTTTCAATCCATTATAGTAAATTATTTTATTGGAAATTTAATTGAAATAGCTTTAGACTATAGGAAAAGGGCAGACTGATTAATAAAATACAGTAGGGCCAATAGATAACTCTTAGAATGAACATGGTGATATACTGGGCAGTGCATAACTACCAGCTCTGAGAAACAAAAAGTAATTGGTATTTTAGGCTATTAAGAACCTTTTATGTGATTTTAAGAATCTTAAATATGTGTGAAGCATTTAGCATGGTGCCTGATACAAGCACTCAGTGAATTCCACATATGAACATGCATGAACACCTGTCTGCCCCTGCATGTGCACACAGTCATGTGCTGGTAAACACAGTAGAGCCTCCATTGTGGACGCCTTCCTTCACCGCCCACCTCCTTAAGTTGATCTAATTTTCATAGACTGGACATGTATGTATCAGGACAGTAGGCCCAATTCCTTGTGTTGACCACCTCCATATGTTGACCAGTTTGTTACAGTCCCTTGGGTGGTCAACTTTCAGAGGTTCTACTGGATTTAAAAACTTACTCTCTGGGGCAGTGCCTGTGGCTTAATGGGTAGGGTGCCAGCCCCATATACTGAGGGTGACGGGTTTGAACCCGGCCAGCTAAAACAGCAGTGGCAACTGCAACAAAAATAGCCGGGCGTTGTGGCAGATGCCTGTAGTCCCAGCAACTCAGGAGGCTGAGGCAAGAGAATCGCCCTATCCCAAGAGCTAGAGGTTGCTGTGAGCTGTGACACCACAGCATTCTACCAAGGACGACAGAATGAGACTCTGTCTCAAAAAATAAAAACAAAAACAAACAAACGTACAAAACTTACTCTCTGATGAAAAAGAAAAGCCCTGATTTATAGTGTTTGCTAATTTTCATGATCAAATCCCTCCACCATGGGTGATTTCACACAACCTATGTGAAGTCACTAAAAACAGTGCTGGGGAGATATATGCATAATTAGTCCTCACTAGCCAATGTGAATCTAAATACCCATATCAATCATGAAATTAAATTATTTTTATGTATATGTGAATGTGAGTTTATAATCAAAATGCCCAGTAAAAGGATGGAGGGACAGATATCAAAATGCATGACAGGAGTCTCTTCTCTGGAGAAAGACATGGAAGTAGGTTTGGAGGAGCAGAATAAACAGAACTGTTTTATCAAAATTCACTGAATTTTTTAATGATTAAAATGTTCATCTAATGTTTATGTATTTATTGGGTTAAAGTGGGACTTGTTTTCTTAATTATCTAACCCATTCTTATCATAGCAATATTTTCTCACTGATATTAAGGATCCCCTGCAAAAGAAATGACCACCTCAAGTAGATGTCATATTACACAAAGAAATTGCCTTCTGAAAAAAATGTACGGCTTACTTTGGCTTCAGTTTCTCCCCTGTGAAGAGTGTACAGATGGTGGACAGCACTTTGCGACGAGGACCAAGGATGAGTCAGAATTTGGAAGACATGAAAATCATGGCCAAGAGTATCCGTTGTGACCAGAAGCATTCCTGGAAGACAAAAAACAGAGGGTAAAAATAAAAATCGTGTAATGTAGATGAAATATTTTCAAAAGCTACTCAACATATTACCTCAAGATATTACCAAAAAAAAAATAATTATCAGGGATACAAGAAGCTTTCCAAACATCAACAACAAAAAAATCTTTTTCCTGAAAATAACAAATTTAATATCACATCTATAGGGTGTCCCAAAAGTTACCTGTGAAGTTGCCATGGGGGGGGGGGACATTGTAGCTAAATGTCCCATTTTCCCCATGCACGGCAACATCAGGAGCAACTTTTGGGATACCCTGTCTATACCAGTAAGGTTTAATACAGGTATCAATATTATTACATTCCCATATGACTAGCCAGAAATATGTTTTCTATGCCTGAATTTACAGACTTGACAATCATTTTTGAAAATAAAGTGTAAAAATGGTGCACCTTTGTAAAACTATAAAACAATACTCCCTATATCTGCAAATTCTTCAAACTTGAATTCAAAGTTCCTGTTTCTCTATTGATCACACTACTAAATCCATCGTCTAATTCATCAGTTTAAAACTTATTTCTCTCTTTGCAGTCTATTTATTGAAATGGCCTATAACACCTTTCACAAAGCAAGTTCTTGATTTTGATGAGAAGTCATATCTAAGAATTCTTAGCCTAACCCAAGGTCCCAAAGATTTTTCTGTTTTCTTATAAAAGTTTCATAGTTATATGGTTTTACACTTAGGTCTGTCAGCCAGTTTAAATTTATTTTTGTATAAAATATGCCTACCTTACATAAAATATTACAAGGATCTATACAAAAGGTATACAAAGTTAACTTTTTTGTATAAATATCCAGTTGCTTCAGCAAGATATCCTTAAGAGACTGTTCCTTCTTCATGGAGTTAACATTGCCAACTTGCCAAAGACCAAGTCACCATATTTCTGTAGCCCTGATTTTGGATGTTCTATTCTATTCCATCAATTTCTGTGTCTATATGTTCACTAATGTTAATCAAGAATGGAAAATAGAAAATCTTGAAATCAGCTCAAGTGAGTCTTCCTTTTCTGGGCTGTTTCAACATTTTTTTTTTTTTTTTTGGAGGAACAAACAAGCTATCCCCCTGGGTAGAGTGCTGTGGCTTCACTGCTCACAGCAACCTCTGACTCCTGGGCTCAAGCGAGACTCCTGCCTCCACCTCCCAAGTAGCTGGGACCACAGGCGCCAGCCACAACGCCCGGCTATTTTTTGGTTGCAGCCATTATTGTTGTTTGGCGGGTCCGGGCTGGATTCGAACCCACCACCTCAGGTGTATGTGGCTGGTGCCTTAGCCACTTGAGCCACAGGCGCCAAGCCGGGAACTGTTTTAAGTGTATAAATCAATATGGGGATAACTGACTTCTTACTATTGAGTCTCCTGATCCAGGAATGCAGCATATTTCTTAACTTAGATTTATTTTAACTTCTTTTTTATTGTTCAGCACAAAGATTTTCAATATGGTTTCTTAGATTAGAAATGACAATGTTTTTAAAATTGCAATTATCAACTTTCTTTGTTAGTAATAGGAATAAAAATCTATGCATTTTTCTAACCTTGACTTTGCATGTCCTCTGCAAGCTCTAGGAGTTTTTTGGCAGAATACCTGAATTTTCTTTGATTACAATCATGTACTACTGGTACAGGAATAGATCCAGTTTGGCTTCTTCCTTTTTCTCAATTTAATGCATTTTCTGGGGCAAAGAAAAATGGTGAGAAGAAATATCCATGCCTTTTTCCATTTCTTAAGGTTAATGCATTCAATCTGTAAGTATGACATTAGCTGCAGCTTTTTTATAATAGCCTTTTACAAAATATGTTGAGGGCATTTGTACTGAAAGTCTGCTGGATTTTTCAAGTGCTCTTATGCATATGTGGAAATAATTATGTAGTTTTCTTCTATAGTCTATTAATGCTGTGAATTTTAACAATAATCATCAAATGCTGAACAAGCCTCACATTCCTGAGATAAGTCCCATTTGGTCAAAATCACTGATATGCTGCTGCATTCAATTTGTGAATATTTTGATAATTTTCTTGTCTGTGTTCCTGAGAAATATTGGTTTTTAGTTTTCCAATAATATGTTTGTCTGGTTTTGGTATCAGAGAAATGCAGGCATCAAAGAGTGAACTAAGAAATGCTCTTTATTTTATTTCCTAGAATAAACTATGTGAAATTGTTTTCAATTACCTGCCTTAAATGTTTGGTAGAATTCAACAGCAAAAATATTTGTTATCACTGTTTTTACTTTATTTTATTTTATTTTTGAGACAATGTTTCACTTTCTAGAGTAGAGTGGCATTATCACAGCTCATTACAACCTCAAACTCATGGTTTAAGTGATTCTTCTGCCTCAACCTCTCAAGTGAAACAACACATATACACAACCATAAATGTTTTTTTTTTTCCTACTTTTTAAGTAGTAACAGGGTCTCATTCTTGCTCAGTCTGTCTTGAACTTCTGGCCTCAAACAATCCTCTCTCTGCCTTGGCCGTCCAAAATGCTAGGACTACAGGGATCAGCCCTATTTGGGTCTATTTTGAAGGTTTTTAACTGCCATAATTTTTTATGTTTATTTATTCATTCATTACGTTTAGGCACAGAATCACACTCTGTTGCACGGGCTGGAATGGAATGGTGTGATTATAGCTCACTGAAACCTTGAATTCCTGGTCTCAATTGATCTTCATGCCTCAGTTTCCTGAGTAGCTGGGACCACAGGCCCACACCTCTGCAACTACCTAATTTTCGAAACTTTGTAGAGACAGGGTTTTGCTACGTTGCCCTGGTTGGCCTCAAACTCCCAGCCTCAGGAGATCCTTGGCCTCCCAAAGTGCTAGAGTTATAAGTGTGAGCTACCATGTTCAAACCAGTAAAATGTTGCAAAATGTTCCATGTGCTAATGAGAAGAATGTGTTTTCTACAGTTTGGGGATAGAATGTTCTATAATACATGCAAGGTCCATTTGTCCCAGTGCCTCATTTAAGTTCAATGTTTCTTTATTGATTTTCTGCTTCAATGATCTGCCTAGGTCTATCAGTGGTGTGTTGAATTCCTTGGCAATTATGATGCTATTATTTATTTCTTTACTTAGATGAAGCAGGATTTGCTTTATGAATTTAAGTGCTCCTGTCTATTTTCTCTGATATAAGAATGGCTATACTTGCTGTCTTTTGGTTTCCATTTGTGTGCAATACATTTTTCCATCCCTTTCACGGTGAGTCTCCTTACCAGTTTCCTAGAGACAGCTGCTTGGATTGTGTTTTACATCCATTCGGCCAGTCTATGTCTTTTATGTGTGGCACACTGAGTGTCAGTATTGATATGTGGGATACTATTCTGTTCATCATGTTGGATAATGCCTTATTGTTTAGTTTTCCTTCTTGTAAGCTGTAAGCTTCAACTTTTGGGTGTTTTTATACTAGTTGGTATCTGCTATGTTAACCATATATAATGCACTTCTGAGCATTTCCTGTAGAAAGGTCTAGTAGTAAGAAATTTCCTTAGTGTTTGCTTTTCTTGAAAGGTCTTTATTTCTCTATCATTTATGAAACTTAGTTTTGCAGGATAAGAAATTCTCAGCTGGCAGTTGTTCTGTTAAAGAAAACTAAAAATGGGACCACACTTCCTTCTGGATTGTTCTACGTAAATTCTATACTGAGAAGTCTGCTGTTAGCCTGATGGGTTTTCTTTGTAGGTTAGTTGTTCCTTTCATCTTCTAGCTTGCAAAATTTTCTCCTTCATTTTGACTTTGACCAAGGTTGATGATTATATGTGTCTTGGCAATGTCCGATATGCTATGGTGTTCCTGGTGTTCAACAACCATCTTGCATCTGGGTATCTGAATCTCTGGTGATAACAAGGAAGTTTTACTCAATAATTCCCTTGAATAGATTTTCTGTGCTTTTTGCATTTTTTTCTTCTTTCTCAGGGACAGCCATAATTTATATCTTAGTTCTCTTCAGATAGCCCTGTATTTCTCTGAGTGATTGTTCATTCCTCTTTATTCTCCTTTCTGCATCTTTGACTTTCTTCATTGTTGACTCATGAGGGCTGATTCGAGAGCCTTATCTTCAAGCTCTGAGATTCTTACTTCTCCTTGGTTAAGCTTATTGTTGAAGCTTTATGCTGCATTTTGAAATTCTCTTCCATTTCTTTCTTTCTTTTTCTTGAGACAGAGTCTCACTCTGTCACCTGGGTAGAGTGCGACGGCATTTCAGCTGACAGCAATCACACTCTTGGGCTTAAGCAATCCTCTTGCCTCAGCCTCTGGAGTAACTGGGACTACAGATGTATATACCATGCCTGGCTAGCTTTTTTTCTACTTTTGGGGGAGATAGGGTCTTGATCTTACTCAGGTTGGTCTCAAACTCCTGAGCTCAAGCAACCCAACTACCTGAGCCTCCTAGAGTTCTAGGATAATAGGCATGAGCCGTCATGCCCGGTCGCTTCCATTTCTAAAGTTCTGTTATATTCCTCCTTATGTTGTCTAGCTCATTAGCAAGTTTTTAATTTTTTTTTACTGATATCCTGAAATTTGGGGGAGGGGCTTGCTTTTGTTGGTTTTTGACCTTGTCTTCAATGCTATTCATCTTATTTTCCATTGATATTCTGAAATCCATTTCTGACACTTTGACAATTCTCTTTTAATTGGTGTCCACTGCTGTAGATCCATTGTGATCCCTTGGGAGTGGGTGTCAAATTGTCTTATTTTTTCATGTTACCAGAGTTCTTTTGTTGGTTTCTTCTTGTCTGAATCCTCTTCTCTCAGCTCAGCACATCTGTTTTCCCATGCTGGCAACTCTCCTACACAGTGAGAAGAAGAAAAGGTCCCTACATGGTGTTTTCATGGAAGATCATCATATTTGGGGTTTGGGGTTTATAATACAGTTTTTCTGCTTTATACCATTCCCTGGTGATTGTCACAGTTTAGGCCAGTGGTAGATCTTTGTGCAGAGTGGTGGGTTATTCCCAAGGCTGC